CCGGCTAATTTTTTGTATTTTTAGTAGAGACGGGGTTTCACCATGTTGACCAGGATGGTCTCGATCTCTTGACCTCGTGATCCACCCGCCTCGGCCTCCCAAAGTGCTGGGATTACAGGCTTGAGCCACCGCGCCCGGCCTTGTCTCCAGATTTTTTAATGATTGCCATTCTAACTGGCATGAGATGGTATCTGAATGTAGTTTTGATTTGCATTTCTCTAATGACCAGTGATGATGAGCATGTTTTCATATGTTTGTTGGCCTCATGTATGTCTTCTTTTGTAATGTGTCTGTTCATATTCTTTGCCCACTTTTGAATGGGCTTGTTTTTTTCTTGTAAATCTGTTTTAGTTCTTTGTAAATTCTGGATATCAGCCCTTTGTCAGATGGGTAAACTGCAAAAATGTTTTTCCCATTCTGTCAGTTGCCAATTGACTCTAATGACTGTTACTTTTGCTGTGCAGAAGCTGTGGAGTTTGATTAGGTCCCATTTGTCTATTTTGGCTTTTGTTGCCAATGCTTTTGGTGTTTTGGTCATGAAGTCCTTGCCTATGCCTATGTCCTGAATGGTTTTGCCTAGCTTTTCTTCTAGGGTTTTTATGGTGTTAGGTCTTATGTTTAAGTCTTTAATCCATCTGGAGTTAATTTTGGTGTAAGGTGTCAGGAAGGGGTCCAGTCTCTGCTTTCTGCACATGACTAGCCAGTTTTCCCAACACCATTTATTAAACAGGGAATCCTTTCCCATTGCTTGTTTTTGTCAGGTTTGTCAAAGATCGGATGGTTGTAGATATGTTGTGTTGCCTCCAAGGCCTCTGTTCTGTTCCATTGGTCTATATCTCTGTTTTGGTACCAGTACCATGCTCTTTTGATTACTGTAGGCTTGTAGTATAGTTTGAAGTCCGGTAGTGTGATGCCTCCCACTTTGTTCTTTTTGCTTAGAATTGACTTGGCTATGCAGGCTCTCTTTTGGTTCCATATGAAGTTTAAGGTGGTTTTTTCCAGTTCTGTGAAGAAGGTTATTAGTAGCTTGATGGGGATAGCATTGATTCTGTAAATTACTTTGGGCAGTATGGCCATTTTCACGATATTGAGTCTTCCTAACCACGAACATGGAATGTTTCTCCATCTGTTTGTGTCCTCTTTTATTTCGTTGAGCAGTGGTTTGTAGTTCTCCTTGAAGAGGTCCTTTATATTCCTTGCTAGTTGTATTCCTAGGTAATTTATTCTCTTTTTTTTGAGACGGAGTTTCACTCTTGTTACCCAGGCTGGAGTGCAATGGCGTGATCTCGGCTCACCGCAACCTCCACCTCCTGGGTTCAGGCAATTCTCCTGCCTCAACCTGCTGAGTAGCTGGGATTACAGGCATGCGCCACCATGCCCAGCTAATGTTTTGTATTTTTAGTAGAGACGGGGATTCACCGTGTTGACCAGGATGGTCTCGATCTCTTGACCTCGTGATCCACCTGCCTCGGCCTCCCAAAGTGCTGGGATTACAGGCTTGAGCCACCGTGCCCAGCTGTATTTTATTCTCTTTGTAGCAATTGTGAATGGCAGTTCATTCTTGATTTGGCTTTCTTTAAGTCTGTTATTGGTGTATAGGAATGCTTGTGATTTTTGCACATTGATTTTGTATCCTGAGACTTTGCTGAAGTTGCTTATCGTTTCAGGAGATTTTGGGCTGAGATGATGGGGTCTTCTAGACATACAATCATGTCATCTGCAAATAGAGACAATCTGATTTCCTCCGTTCCTATTTGAATACCCTTTATTTCTTTTTCTTGCCTGATTGCTCTGGCTATTACAGTAACCTTCTAACTTTTCTTTCTGCTCTTGGTTTGGCATTCTTCCACAGGCAGTCAGAATAATCTTTGGAAATACAACTTTTTTTTGAGCCAGAGTCTCACTCTGTGTCCAGGCTGGAGTGTAGTGGCACAATCTCTGCAACATCCACCTCCCAGGTTCAAGTGATTCTCCTGCCTCAGCCCCCCAAGTAGCTGGGACTACAGGTGTGTGCCACCATACCCGGCTAATTTTTGTATTTTTGGTAGAGGCAGGGTTTCACCAAGTTGGCCAGGATGGTCTCCATCTCTTGACCTTGTGATATGCCCTCCTCGGCCTCCCAAAGGGATTACAGGTGTGAGCCACCCTGCCTGGACCAGAAAATACAAATCTTAATAAGTCCCTCTCTGGTTAAATATCTTTGAGGATTAAGTTCAAACTTTTAGCAGTTTATGATAAGGTCCTGGTCTTATATCTTTCATATCATTTCTTTCCATTCTTCCACCCTTCACTTGAAGCACTTTTTCTATTATAAGCAGTAGCTTCTAGCCTTTGAAAAATCTGTTTTTCCCCCTTTCAGCTTTGTTAATTCCTATTCATCCTCTAAAAATCAGTTTTGTTTTGTTTTGTTTTTTTAAAGAGACAGGGTCTCGCTATGTTGCCCAGGCTGGAGTGCAGTGGCTATTCACAGGTGCAATCCCACTACTGATCAGCATGGAAGTTTTGACCTGTTCCGTTTCCAACCTGTGCCGGTTCACCCCTCCTTAGGCAACCTGGTGGTCCCCCGCTCCCAGGAGGTCACCATATTGATGCCGAACTTAGTGCGGACACCTGATCGGCATAGCACACTGCAGCCCAGAACTCCTGGACTCAAGAGATCCTCCAGCCTCAGCCTCCTGAATAGCTGGGACTACAGACAGGCGCCACTGCGCCCGGCTAAAAATCAGTTTTAATCCTGCTTCCTAGGAGACTTTACAGCCCCACTGTAGATATTCCTCTCTTCTGCTATTGGAATCTGTGCACCCCTCAATCACTCACCACACTGTACTAAGGTTGTTGATATTTTCTTAACTTTTTTGAATGCCTTCATTTTTGGAGTTGGCTTTCCCGCTGCACACTCAGGTGTCTTAAACACATTTGATTTTTTCTTCTGTGTATTGACGATTCATGTTCTTTGCTCATTTTTCTGTTGAGTTGTGCTTTTCTTTCCTTTTTTTTTTTTTTTTTTTTTTTTTGAGACACAGTCTTGCACTGTCACCAGGATGTAGTGCAGTGGAATGATCTCGGCTCATTGCAATCCTGGGTTCAAGCAGTTCTCCCGCCTCAGCCTCCCGAGAAGCTGGGACTACAGGGGTGCATCACCACGCCCAGCTAATATTTTTGTATTTTTAGTACAGATGGGGTTTCACCATGTTGGCCAGGATGGTCTCGATTTCCTGACCTCGTAGTCCGGCTGCCTCGGCCTCCCAAAGCGCTGGGATTACAGGCTAGAGGGACCATACTCGGCCCCCCACCTTTTTTTTTTTTTTTTGAAACAGGGTCTCATTCTATCGCCAGGCTGGAGTGCAGTGGCGCAATCTAGTCTCACTGAAACATCCGCTTCCCAGGTTCAACGGATTCTGTTGCCTCGGCCTCCCCAGTAGCTTGGACTACAGGCGCACACCACCACGCCCAGCTAATTTTTTTATTTTTAGTAGAGACGGGATTTCACCTTGTTGGCCACGATGGTCTAGATGTCTTGACCTCGTGATTCGCTAGCCTTGGCCTCCCAAAGAGCTGGAATTACAGGCATGAGCCACCACACCCGGCCTTTTTTTTTTTTTTTTTTTAAATATTATTTATTTATTTATTTTTTTGAGACGGAGTTTCACTCATGTTACCCAGGCTGGAGTGCAATGGCGCGATCTCGGCTCACCGCAACCTCCGCCTCCTGGATTCAGGCAATTATCCTGCCTCAGCCTCCTGAGTAGCTGGGATTACAGGCACACGCCACCATGCCCAGCTAATGTTTTGTAGTTTTAGTAGAGACAGGGTTTCACCATGTTGACCAGGATGGTCTCGATCTCTTGACCTCGTGATCCACCCGCCTCGGCCTCCCAAAGTGCTGGGATTACAGGCTTGAGCCACAGTGCCCAGCAATATTATTTATTTTCATACACTGTTTTGAACTAAAACACTTGGCCTTTTTAAAATTGTTATCTCTTGGACTGTTTTACCATAAGCATTGTCCAATTTAATGGGTTTCCCATAATTTACTTAACCATTTTTATTTAGTGTTGGATTTTTAGATTGCTTTCATTTTTTGTTATACTACTACATAAGGAATTATTTATGTTTATTTTCATGGAATAATTTCCTAGAAATGTAATTACTGAATAGGAACAATCATTTTTTTGAGTAGGAGTCTTGCTGTCGCCTGTGCTGGAGTGCAGCAGTGCAATCTCTCACTGCAACCTTAGCCTTCTGGGTTCAAGCGATTCTCCTCAGGTTTTCAAGTAGCTTAGATTACAAGCCACCATGCCCAGCTAATTTCTGTATTTTTAGTAGAGACGTGGTCTCATCTCACCATGTTGGCCAGGCTGGTCTCACACTCCTGGCCTCAAATGATCCACCTGCCTTGGCCTCACAAAGTGCCGGATTTACCGGCATTAGCCACCGCGCCCTACCTCCAAGTTGCTTTCAAGAGGTAACCAAGGTTTGTAAGCTGAATGTGCTCTGAGGGGTAGAAGCAGAAAAAGTTAACTGTGGAAAAGGCATGTTTCCACTTAGCTAAAGGATAAGCCAAGTGTAGGGGTGACTTGGGTTTAGCAGTAAAGGGCACCAGCTAATGCAACACCGTTAGCTTTGGGAACGGGACAACCTGGATTCGAAGCCCATTTTTGCCACCCTGTGACCTTCAGGTGGTAGGTGGCCGTCTCTGAGCCTTAGTTTTCTGAAATTCAGGTAGGTTTTGCTCAGCCTTTATATTTTCCACCATCTTTAGACCAAGCACTCTCTGGCGCTTCCAAATTGAAAACTGCAGCTGCGGAACTGACGTAATGGGCTGAATCAGCCTCAGCCGCGAAACGCCGACTAATCACTCGCAGGCACTTCCGGCGGCCTGGACAAAAGGTTTGAAGTCCCTGGGGCCGCACTTCCGGATAATTAAGCCTGCGCTTTAGCTGCCGCTTCAAGGTAGCCGCAGCCGGGTGACTTGGGTGCCGCAACTGCGCATGCTTCCCGCGGGCGCGGGGCGGGGCGGAACACTGGAGGAGGCGGTCCAGGACCCTGACTCTTCTCGCGGTTACTGGGCCGGCGCGAGCGCGCGAGGCTCGGGGGCGGCACGGGGTGGGGTTTAGCTTGGGGTGGACGTTGCGGGTCTTACCTGGGCGTCGCTGTGCTCGCGGTGCTGAGGTTGTCTCGGGTGAGGAGGTCGCTCCGGAAGTGGCTCTGGCGGTGGCCTTTCGGCGCAGTAAGGAGCCTGCGACGTAGTTTTGTTGTTTAGGGGGCGCGCCACCACACCGCTCCCTCCACTTTCCTTGGTGCAGCCATGGCGAAAGGCAGAGTCGCCGAACGATCGCAGACAGGCGCTCACCACACAATCCCCGTGGGGGACGGGGCAGCGGGGACGCGGGGACCTGCGGCGCCTGTCAGCAGAGACCACCAGAAGGGTGAGTGGACCCAGGGACCAGAGCTGGGACTGGCCCGAGACATCTGTGTGCCCGGAGGGGCTCCAGAGGGGCGAAGAACCCCAACTGGTCTCGGAGGGTTGCTAGGAAAGAGGGGGCCTACTGGCGTCGGGGAGAGAGCAGCGACCGTGGGGGAGTTGGGCTTGTGCGCTCGCTCAGCAAAAGGCTGGACACCTAGTAGGTGCGTTGTAAATGCTGTTTGAGTTGAATTCATTTAAAAGAAGGGATGACACTGGCTTGTTGACGCTCAGGTAGATTGTAAGGTAGATAATAACGACGCTAGGTAGAGCTGGAAGGAGCTACACTGTAGCATTCGTTGCGTTTTTACAGATGAATAAACTGAAGCCCAGGGTGGATATATGACTTCTAAAGTCATAAAGCCAGGTCCATGAAGTAGCTAGCAGTTAGGAGCAAGGACTTAATACCTCCAGGGGGCAAGTACACCTGGGTTTGAGTCCCTGCTCTACCGTTTACTTTTGACCTTGGACTCGGTAACTTTCAAAAGCTCAGTATCTGAACTGTGAAATGGGGATAATAATAATATCTACTTAACAGGTGGTGCATGGGTTAAACGAAATCACATAAAAGATTTAGGGTAATGTTTGAATATGAAGGGGGGGCTAAATAAATATTAGCAGTTACTTAGTTACAGCTAAGGTCAGTCATTCGAAAGTTTTTCCCCACTGCATTATCTTGACATTTCTCACGGCTTTAGTTTTCATTTTTGCTTTCTTTTTATTCCTACTGCTTTTATGATTGCAGAATCTCACGGTTTTCAATATGTTTTAAGGAAAAAACTGTACCTAGAAACGAAATACTTTGATTCTGTGTTGGTATGAAATTGTTCTTTAAATGATTTTAAAGCTCAGAAACTTGAATTGATTCTAACAAGTTTCTCTATAAGTCACATAGGTGTGTTCCACCACCAGTGATGGCTAAGGTGAAGAACTTTTAAGAATGTGTAGCAGAAAATGTTAATGTATTTTAAAATAATTTAAAATGTCGCTGCTTTGCACGGTGGCTCATGCCTGTAATCCCAGCACTTTGTGAGGTTGAGGTGGGTGGATCATGAGGTCAGGAGTTCCAGACCAGTCTGACCAACATAATGAAAACCCGTCTCAACTAAAAATACAAAAAATCAGCCAGGTGTGGTGGTGTGCGCCTGTAATCCCAGTTACTCAGGAGGCTGAGGCAGGAGAATCGGGTGAACCCAGGAGGCGGAGGTTGCAGTGAGCCAAGATTACACCATTGCACTCCAGCCTGGGTGACAGTGCGACTGTCTCAAAAAAAAAAAAAAGTTACCAACAGTATAATTGGGCTCTGTCAGCTTTATGTATCTGGGTATTTTTCCAGCTTATAGACAGTGGAACCAGGTAACTTTTTTTTTTTTTTTAATTTTTTTTTTCTTCAGTGAAAGATCCAGAGGAAGGAACCAGGTAACTTAATATAACTTCAAAAACTGAGAAATGAATCGTTGTTAATGTATAAATCTACTCTCAATAAAAGAAAAATTGTTTTGAAGACTCTACTACTGAAGATGACAATAATCCAAGGTCTGGGTTTCCTTAAAGTGTCTTCCAGATAGGGGATCCCTAAAGATTGATAATCTTGTTTGAGATAGCAGCCAGTTGTATTGTTCATGATTTTTACCAAAAGCTATTCAAAAAATAAAACCTTGAAACTTCCTAAGTGCTCTTTTTTTAATCTTATTTTATCATTACAACAACATTCAACACAATTATTCTTATGATGCTGTCACATGACATCTCTAGATCACAAATCTATAGAAAGACAGGGAAGAGATGTGAAGACATGCCTTCATGGTGAAGTAAGGCTTGTTTTTTGTGGCTTGAGACAGGGGTCTCACTGTGTCACCCATGCTGGAGTGTAGTGGCGTGATCATAGCTTGCTGCAGCCTCAGCCACCTGGGCTCATGTGATCTTCCCACCTCAGTACCCCAAGTAGCTGGGACTACAGGTGTGTGCCACCATGCCCAGCTAATTATTTCTTTTTTTAGAGAAGGGGCCAGGGTGTCTCAAAGTCCTGGACTCAAGTGTCTTCCTGCCTTGGCCTTCTCAAATGCTGGAATTACAGGCATGAGCCGTTGTGCTTTGCCAGAGAAGTAAGGTTTGGATAAGTAGAGACAAGGGAAGAATATTCCAGGCTAAGAGAAACAGACCAGTAGGCTTGAAAGTTAGTGTGAAACTTTTATGTGTTTAGGTAAGGATAACTTGTCAGGAGCAGAGGGTTTCTGTTGGATGGTAGTAGGAGATGAGGTTGGCCTATTTAGAAGAATGTCAGAATGTTCCTGTAAGTTCCGTGATGCTTGGGAATGAATTTGTATTTTATTAAGTGACACGTATATAAATTTGACAAATAAGTAGTTGTCATCATTTGTGTGTTTGAAATATTTCACACGCTATCTGCAATGTTTGGTACATTTAGTGGATTCTGGCCTCTTGTCTCAGAGCTAAGCCTAGTAGACTGTGGACCACTTTGAAGACTTGGGTAACGCAGAAGTAACATGGAAAGTCTAATTTTTGCATAATGGAGATGAGAGAGCAGACAGGCGGAACTAGTCAAGAAGCTCTTAACCTAATTGATTTGAAGGTGACTGGACCAGAGTATATAAACTTTTTTTGTGGTGTTTGTCCAACCCATCTATTACTAGCAGGTTCTCTATTTTAATTTAAGAGAACTAGGACTATTTTTTGTCCAGTGTAGTATAAGTCATGACCTTTGTGAGAGGTATGAAATCAAAAATAAACTTTTTTTTAAAAAAAATAATATATAGAGACGGGGTTTCCCCATGTTGGCCAGGATGGTCTTGTTTTCTTGACCTCGTGATCCGCCCGCCTCAGCTTCCCAAAGTGCTGGGATTACAGGTGTGAGCGACCACACCTGGCCAAAAATAAATGTTTTTAAAAAATGGAATAGAGAAAATAGTGCTTTGGGATTAAATGCTTTTATTTTTACATCTTTATTTGTTTTTTTTTGTTTTTTTTGAGATAAAGTCTCACACTGTCTCCCAGGCTGTAGTGCAGTGGTGCAATTTCGGCTCACTGCAGTCTCCGCCTCTTGGGTTCAAGCAATTCTCCTGCCTCGGCCTCCTGAGTAGCTGGGACTACAGGCGTGTGCAACCATGCCCTGCTAATTTTTTTTGTATTTTTAGTAGAGATGGGGTTTAACCACGTTGGCCAGGATGGCCTTGATCTCCTGGCCTTGTGATCTGCCCACCTCAGCCTCCCAAAGTGCTGGTGTGAGCCACTGTGCCTGGCCTTTTTCTTGAATTATATAGATTTTGTGTATACTGGATCATGATATAGAATACATTACTTACTGTGGAACACAGTCAGAAAAGATTGAAAAACACTGTCTCAAAAAGTTGGTTTTGTTGCTTCTAGGAGATAATGTTGTTCTAACTTGGTTAATCCACATCCCTGGTCTAGATCCTGCCTTGCTAGTTTGGTTCAACAAATATTCCTCAAATGTCTACTATGAGCAAAGTATTGGCTTAGAGAAAGAAGGAAGCTCTGATTACTGTAGATGAAATCTAAGACAAGATTTGGCAGCTGAATATCAACCAAAGCATTAGTATGATTTCTATCACAGACCAAAAACATTGTGATACATAATATTTGTATCAGAATTTTTTTGGTCTGTGATAGAAAACCCACTGGAACCGTTGCTGAAAGGGAGTTTATTGGTCCATGTAAATAAATCAAATGATGAAGTAGGATTTAGTGGCATCAGGGTGGAGTCAGCTGCACTAAGTATCTTCAAGATCAGATTTTTCATATCCTGATTTGCTTATTTGATGTCAACTTAACCTGGTTCCCCGTAAAGCTTCAGGTAAGCTAAATGCTTCTGTGTTAATTTTGAGAATCTTTGTCCTAGCATTATGGGTGAAATTTCTTCTTGCTATTCACTGATTAGGTTGCCTCAGATCAGATGCTTTTTCCTGAACTTATCATTATTGTCAGTAGGTCAGAGTAACTTGATTGGCTCAGCCTGATTCATGTTCTATACCCAGAAGAAAGAGCTTCTGGGAGCTAAATCAGTTTTCCCAATGACATGGATTTCTGTGATGGCTCACTCAGTAATTTTTCTGTATTTGTGCTTAACCATCATGATGTAGGAATGAGGAAAGTGCATTTGTAGTACTGATTTTTGGGTTAGATGGCTGCAAGGAAAGAATAAGGATTTTGAACAAAGGTGCTGGTTCAGATGATACTTCTCGGAGTCCAGGCTGGCATGGAAGGAAGAGAATGAAGAGTCCAACAGAAAGGAGAAAATGGAAGATGAAGGCAAGGTAGGAGAAGTGGCAGCACTCCCAATCTTGTTAGAAAAAGGTAAGGGGCCGGGTGCGGTGGTTCACGCCTGTAATCCCAGCACTTTGGGAGGCCGAGGCGGGTGGATCACGAGGTCAAGAGATCGAGACCATCCTGGTCAACATGGTGAAACCCCGTCTCTACTAAAAATACAAAAAATCAGCTGGGGGCATGGTGGCGCATGCCTGTAATCCCAGCTATTTAGGAGGCTGAGGCAGGAGAATTGCCTGAACCCAGGAGGTGGAAGT